TCCACACCTAATTTTCAAGTCGGAAATGGCTAGTGTGTGTGTATGACAGGCAAGCTCTCTCAATTAGTGGCTTGCCTTAAAGCAAAGCCCCACTCTGACAAAGTCCTTCTCCTCTCTCTCTCCTTCATTCTACCAGAGTATAGCAGTGAGAGGCGTTCATAGCCCTCCTCCCTTGGGAATGCTTTTCTATTGTTTTTATCCTGCAGTGAAAAGTGGGAAGAAAAATACTGTACTAGTGTTGCTTTCATCACAAACAGGCAGTTTTGAAGTGACAGTTGTTTCCTCAGTTGATAGGTAAATGTAAATTATAAATCGGCTAAAATGTGGGTGTTCTCCCCACTTGCACTGATGTTTCTTTCCATCTTGTAGCCATGAGAGGAAAATGTAGGAGAAGGAGTGTTTCTCTTGTGAATTCTTCACAGCTCTTCTTACTAGAAGACTCTGCCCACTAACAAATATTCTGAATCTGCTGGAGGTTCACATTGTGGGATGTACGGAACAGGCCCCATTTCTTTTCTGAGCCATCCAGAGAGCTTTGACTATTTCTTAGTAATGCAGGTTGTTAAATAGGTAATATTGATTCATCCATGTTTATGGATTTTGTGAGCTGGGAAGGCCTATGAAGCTTCATGGTTATGTTGGTCCTATCATTGACTAAAAGCCTTTCTTCCTATCTTTTGCGGGAATGCTACTTTTATTTACTTAAATTCTTTACTTGATATAATTCAACGGAACTTTGAAGCCAGTTTAGAACTCAAAGATAAACTGCAAACTATACCCAAACAGTGTTTTTTTTTAAGTACATTTTTGAGGAGGGGAAACATGAAGGAAATTATGATGTATCAGACCAATGTCCTACTTAGTTCAATATTCTCTTCACACAGTTGCCAATTAGTAATGTGAACTATACTAGCAGGCCATGAGCGCAGCACCACCCTGCTGTTTATGTTCCTCAGCAAATTAACATCTGCTATGGAATTGCTGTTGACTAACTGTCTATCCACTTCTTTAAAAACACTTCAGTTTATGGATGTGGGATATTGTGCTTCACTATCTGCAATTCGAAACACCTGGGGATGGTCTAATATTGCTATGCAATATCACGCCTCTGTTGCCAGCAAAAAAAAAGGACACCTGACTTTACACAGCAAAGGAAAGCCTGAATGTTGAGAATAACAATGTCAGCAGTCAAGATGGTCTACAGAATACCTTCTTATACTTACTACAGTTCAAAAATTGACACCAAGCAGGGGAAAATTCCAGAAACTGACCCCCCCTTTTAAAAATCAGTTAACCAATGCTTTATGAATCAAGGTAAACCACAGAGCAAGAAATGGAACATTTAAACATTGTGATGCTTGGTGTCAGTAAAATGTGGTGGACTGGAATTGGACATTTTTCAGTCAGACAGTTGCAAAGTATTTTGCTCTGGAAAATACAAACTCAGAAGAAACAGAATGGCAAGATGTAGCACTAGTAGTTAGGGGCTACAATGCAAAGTCTGACTGAATAATATCCTTCAGACCTCTGGGAAAACTTATCAACATAACCATCATTTAAGTCTGTGTTCTAATTATCAATGCTGAAAAAGATGAAATTGAAAGCTTTTATGCAAGGATTCAGGAGGAAACTGACCAAAACAAGATTTTGTTAATTATTTTAGTGTGGTACTTGTTTGTATGCTTGCTGTTTTTAACTTTTAAATATTGTCTTTGATTGTAAGCCACCATGGGTCCTTTTTTAAGGAGAAAGGCTGGGTAAACTATTTTAAATAAATTAAATAAAATAAGACATGCTTATAATCATAGGTGACTGGAACGCTACAGTAGGAAACAAAGCAGTACCAAAGCTATTGGAAAAATTGGCCTAGGGGTCAGAAAGGAAGGAGAATGACTCATAAAGTTCTATGAAGCCAACAGTCTGTTTATTGCAAATACATGCTTCAAGCAACCAGACAACTGCACACATGGACATCACCAGATGGCCAATGCAGAGACCACACAGACTATGTAACTTGAAGAAGGAGATGGAGAAGTTGTATTCTTTCTGCCAAAATAAGACCAAAAGCTGATGAATTTAAAGTCCATGTTAAAAAAAAGTTTGGATTATTAAACTCAATTGATTGTGAACCAGAACTGTAGATTGAACTGAGAGATATTATTAGGTAGAATGCAAAAAGACCATTCCTGTAGAAAAAGGAAAAGAAAAATCAAGATGGATGATGAAAGAAATACTTTAAATTGTTAAGGACAAGTGAGAAGCAAAAATAAAGGGTGTCAGAAGTAGGGTCAAAATCCTGAATGCATTTTGGCAGTGACCATCATGCAGAGAACTATATAAAGAAATAGAAGAGAACAGGAAAAGAGGAAAAACAAGAGATCTCTTCCAGAAGATCCAAGAAATCAAAGGGAAATTTAAGCCTAAATTAAGAATGCTGAAAGAACAACAGGGGAGCACACTATTTGACCAGGAGAAAACAAAGAGAAGGTGGAAAAAGTATACTGAAGACCTATACAGAAGAGATAAAAGGATGATAAAATCCTTTGAAGAATCCTATGGTGAAGAACCTGCAGTTCTAAAAAGTGAAGTAAAAGTTTGTCTGAAAGCACTGGGAAGAAAATTCAACAGGAATAAAGCGATTGAGAATTTAAATTATGCTAGAACACACAGAATTTCCTACTATTAGAAAACCTGGATGACCAGCTAAGCTATATACCTAGATGAAAGGAAAACGAAATGGTAAGAGCTATAAATATGAGGAATAAGAGAAATGCAGTCATTGGCATATATCATCATTTGCACAACACACTGTACGTATTGTTGATATCATGGGACAGAGCAGCAGTGGCACCAAAAAATCAACAGTGGATTTTCCTTCCTAGACTTTTAACTGGCTTGTGTGTGTGTGTGTGATACACTACTACCTTCCCCATTTTTAAATTGGATTTAGCATTTTCTAAATCAATGTAAAAAAGGATAAATACAGGATGCACGTGGAAATGTGGATTAATTTGACAGGGGATCATGGTTTGTTGAACAGCAGTCCATTTTCTTCTACTCTTCTGCCAGAGGGCTGTTTATTTTAACTTGGACATGGTCTTTGACGACTAACAAACTATCTACTTTATTATTTTTGCTGCCTTTCTTCCATTTTGATGACATTTTCGGGAGTTTTCCCTGCTATTTTAATGTTTTCATTACTTTTGTAAACCAGTCAGTTATTCATGTAGGTGATTGGCAGCTTGGATGTACTGTAAAAAACATTATAAGAATAAATATAATAAAATGTAAAATATATAATCATAATAATCAATATGAAAAGCCTTACATTCTTGGAATGGAGAACAGATTGTTGTCCCCTGTTGTGGTGGTGGTGCTGCTGCTACTTCCTTCGCTGTCCATGCTGTATCCACTGCCAAAGGTACTGGCTGATGAACCGGTGGAGGAGAGTGAACTATCTCCCGGTCGATGGCTGGAAGGCCTTGCTGTAAAGGGCGAGAATGGTGAATTACCGAGCAGGTCGAGAAGACATCTGTGTAAACAATTTAAAGAGCACCCAGCTATTCATGAGACAGGATTTTGTTATTTTCTGGGTAACCAATTCAAGAAAGTGTATCAATTTTCATTCATAATGCCCCATTTTTACC